TGCTGCAAAACATACACCAAGAGAAACATCTTGTCTAAACCTTCTCCGGGCGGCTGAACAGCGGCAGGAGTGACTTCCGGCGTTGGCACGGAAGTTGGCTCACCAGAATGTTCAGGATTCCTGGATGATTTCGGCGCGTCAGGAGTCACTCAAGAAGCGCAAGCGCTACAAAACAACAGCCACAGCTGCCTGCTACAAACAAAACAAAACAGATTTCCGATTTGGGACAATTTGGAAACCCACACACACTTCAACTTTATGACCAAAGGTCCTGCCAAACAAGGCGTCTGTCTTGACCTGAGAGATGGGGGCCATAGTCAGGGCATCAGGATCTGGGACAGCCTCGTCAGCCATCTTGGCAGCCTTCTTGGCTCTCTCTTCTTCTTCTAGAACCTCTGTGCGTTCAGACAACTCCTTCCAGGAAGAAGTATCAAAGAGAAGCCCAGCTTCTTTAGCCTGCACAATCTTCTGGTCCCACCCAGGAGGCACGATCACTCTCTTCTTGACAACCTTTGCTTTGCTCTTGGGTTGTTCGACCACTGGGCAAGCCATCATTTGCTGTTCAGCCTTCATGGCCTCTATGGCCCCTGCGACAGAACCATGCTTTGCTTGCTCTGACCCAAGAAACTCATACCAGGCAACGATATCTTCAATCGGGTCTGAGACTTCAGCATCACACCACACTTCCTTGAAATCGGTTTCGGCGCCCTCACTGATCTGCTTTTGGATGAAAAGGTCAAAGAGATTGGTCCGTCTGGCAAATGCAACATGCTCCTCCCATTCTTCCTCTTGCTCAAGATGCTCTTCAAAATATGCATGTAGCTTTTCCCTGTCATAACCGGCAAACACCTCAACATCCAACTCTTCTGTCTTTGGCGCTTGAAGAGGTTCATGTGCATCGGGCAAGGGTGCAGGTGGACATGGACGCTCAGGCACAGGCTGAGGAGGCTCAGGCTTTCTGGCGAAGCCAAGAGCCGCAGAACCTGCATCCTCCAAGCGGACTGGCGAAGCAAAGCTCAAATTCCGGACATGGGCGGACACAACTTCTGCGATCAAGTCCCTGAGATTGTGGTGGTAAAAAACAGATATGGCAGGACTTGTGTGTTTGGTGGAAAAGAACTCATGAGCAAAAGCTGTTGCCCAAGCAAAGGTAAAGTTTCGTTTTGTGGACACTCATGTAGGACTCAAACAGTCGCTCGCATCTGCTGTTGACACAGCTACCCAGAGCCCTCACGTAGATGTTGTGGGTCTTGGTCGACTTCTCCACCAGAAGGGAGCAAGCAGGTACAAAGAGAACGTCCCCCACCAGAAGCTTTCCACCTTTCAATGAAGCCAATGATGGTAAGTCACCAGTCCAGTGGTGGGTGACAAAATCAACGATTTGCTTGACAGAGATGGGCTCAGACTGGGCAGCCTGCTGTTGCTCAATTGTCTCCAAAGACTCGCACGCGGAGTCCCGGCACCATTGTTCTGCTTCAGCAATGTCGATGACAGCAATGGTCCTCTCTCCTGCCATCTGGTAGTAGACAGCTGGCATTCCACAGGGGGCAAAACCTGCAAAGTAACTTCCCTGCTTGGAGCCACAAATGGATACACCAGTGAACTTGCTGTGAAGTTTCTGGAAGGCATCTGCATCTTGCGGACAAGAAGGGTGGCTGCGAAGCCTCAGTTGACATGACCATTAGATACCTATCAGATGTGGAAATCATTGTCAGGACCCAGCCCCAGCCACACGCCAAAAGCAAGGGAAACAATTCTAAACAAGGCTAGAAACTGGTTCAGGAGAGCATCCCGATCCATAAATTGGAGGGACACTTGCTCTTGACTGTCACATTCATGTTGAATCACTGCATCCATGCCCAAGACATAAGGCGGGGCTTCCACCACCCTGGACTGCCTCTCGACCACACCTCCTGCCTCAAGCTTTGATGCAAAATCAGCACCAAACTTGGTGATCTCTTTGGCCAAGAACTTGGCAACGGACGTGATGCTGTCAGCTGCAAACCCAGGACTTGCCTCCATCACTTTCTTCAAGGCTGTTTTTCTGCAGCGTGCCACTCCTGCAACCATTCCAGCAGATGCGGCGATGAATTGGGCCAACTTCTCCGGACTCTCATGAAGTGCCAATTCACAAGAAGACGGCCACGTTTTGTCTGCAACCGCTTGCACAAGTGTGGGGTCCTGCTCTCCGATTTCCGCATCAACGCGCTTCCGCCTCCTTCTTGGATCCTGCGGCTGAGGCTCTTCAGGATTTGGAGGTGTCTGGGCCTGGGCCGCTTTCCTTGCTTCTGCGGCAGCAGCTTTCTTCTCCTTCTCAATCTGCTTCGCCTTTGCCTTTGCCAGCTTCTGCTCCTCTCGCAAAGCTTCCCTTTTCTCTTTGTCGGCTTGTTTTTTGAGCTGGGCTTGAAGCGCCTTCTCCTCTGCATCACGGGCTTTGGCCAATGCGGTAACATTGGCTTTCCACTCCACACATTCTTTTGTAACAGCCTGGGCCACAGTTGACAGCACTTGAATGGAGTCCTTGTGCTGTTGCGCCAGGGATTGGACAGCATCGGGGGTTCTCTGCAAGCTCAGCATAGTGTCCCGGACAAACGTCATTTGACCAAGAGTGTGCACATGGCTAGCATCCCAGCACTGATCAGCAAAGAAGCTGTCCCTCTGCAGTCTCTCAAGGATGCTTTTCCCTTTTTCCGCATCGGACATGGCAACCTCAGGATCCATAAGCGTCTCTAGACAACTCAGTCGGTTCTTGATTGTTGCAACCTGCGGGTCTGCATCCAGAGAGGCCTTGTCTTCCCCATATACGGCCTTTGCCTCTTGCAGAAGTGCCATGGCTTTCTCTTGCGCGTGTGCAGCCAAGTGCCTGGCCTGGGTAAAGCTCTTCACTGTATCTTTCTTGGCCCTGCTAGCCACAACAAGCACACTGGCTTTGCCACCTTTAGGTTTGGCCTTCGGCTTTGGCTGCTCTGGCACAGACTTATGGCCATCCAAGTTTGGCTGGAAAGAGGTACTGGTGAGAAGGCTACATTCCTCCTCATCCAAATCTCCCCTCAACTCCTGGGCTGCACTTAACAATCCTTAGTGGGTGTTCAAAGCAACCAGTAGTACATCAAACACAAAGGGAAAAGGAACCAACACCCATTTCATGTCACATCGCATCTAAATGCAAATCTAGCCAGGAAACTCTCGCGTTGTTTCTGTGTGGGCCCTTTTGACTCATGCGAATCTTCTTTCCTGACACTGCGGTCCTGGTGCAAATGAACATGCAACGCAAAGCAAGGCATGGAGGATGGACATGGCAAGGACCAGGTGACCAGCAAACGCTGTCCTCATATACGATATCTTGCTTCCTTTCGCCGGTCTGGCCCACCTTCTTGATCCACAGTCTCCAAGCCTAGGCTTGATTCGACGCCAGGTGAATTCAGGCTCACGCATGCACAAACAAGCGGTCAGACAAGCAACCCACCCCATCGAGTTTCCATCAAGGTCGTTGCACATCACTTGGTCACGCTGGACTCGCTGGTCTAAGAAATCCTTTGACCATTTTTGCTCAGCCGACACCTTGCTCAAACGACAGTATGGGGGGCACTGCTCAGTAAACCATGCAATGTACTCTGCTTTGCACATTGGTACCAAGTCAGCGCTGGTCTCATTCCTGCACAAAAAGAAAGGAACCATGCTTGATGTGGCACATGCCTACCGACTTTTAAATGTCAAAAAGGGAAACTGAATCGCTTGCTGACTGGCTCCTTCTGCCGGACTCGTGGGAGCTGACAACACGGCTGAAGTCAAACTGTTTTCGAGGTTTGCCTTGCCTTCCAGGATTTGGACACCTGGGCTATGGCTGCAAACACATGCAATGACAGGAGCCATCTTACAAGTGGCAACTGGTTTTCCAACAGAAGGTAACCTGAGAGAAGCACTCTGCACAGAAGCCCTGAAGCAAGAGGACAAACTGTGGGTTGTTGTCCACCTCCATACGCTCAAGCTGTTGTTTCATGGTCGTTTTCTTTTCTGGCTCATTGGGTTCATCGCAGTCACCATCGCCACCACCTTTGACGTTGACGGCTATGGACCCGGCTTGCTGCAAGAAAGCAACCCTTGAAGTTCCATGCTCACTGCAAAGTTGAGTCTTCCTCAGCCCATGGGGTGCCAGGACTGACTTGGCACCTTTGGAGCAAATGACTCATTAAATACAACCTTTGCAACGAGTTCAAACAAAGAGTCATCGCAGAACGGAATGATATTTCAACTTGACACACAGCGCAATGGAACTTCATGACATCCTTTGGAGCATCCCTCTTGCGCAGACCTTCCCCTGTTTCATTGGGAACAAGCGCCATGAGTGATGGCCAGGAAACTGGAGCAATGCAGGGGAACACAAGAGCTAAAGTGTGGCCAAATGGCTGCCGCAAGAAAACCAAAGGCATATATACTTATATATACATATATCACCTGCAGGTTGTTCATTCTACCTACATATTTCAGATCAGACATGAAGTTTCGCAATTGAAGCAGCGGATGGTTTACTGTTTTGGGCTACAGCAGGCTTGGGAGTATCAAGCTGACTGGTGAGCACGAAGCTAACTTTGATGCTCAACAGGTTCCATTCTGACCATGATGACGGCCCAAAGAGTGCCAACCACAGCGCAATGCATTGCCTCAAAGTCTCAATCAGGAGTCTCATTACCCAGCACAAACAGCGCAACAGGAGTCCGCAACACCTGCTGGGTGCAACTAAGCTGCGTTTCCAGATAGCTGCCGGATTGCAGCTGGTGACAAGCCTTTCGTGTCGACAATCGGGAACAGCCCTGAGCCAGAAAACTCAGCGTACTGAGCGTGCCCCATGGAGTTCAGGGTCTCCTGAGACAAACGACAATGAAATCAGCCCTAGCTAACAATCATGCTTCTCACACCCCCACTCCTTGGGCAAAAGATATCGTTCTTCTCTCACAGGGCCCGAGCCCAAGCTGCATGGCCGAAGAATCAAAAACATCATGCCTTTCCGCAAAAGAGTTGGGCAATATTCAGAAACCACTGGTCTTACTTTTGGATTTTGTTGAAGGTTCGCCAGCAGCGCACTGGAGCCTTGGATTGCAATGAAACATTTGATCGCCGCCAACTGCCACAAGTGACGTCGGACATCTGGCTATGGAAAAACAAGGGGCCGCGATTCCAGTATTTCTCAACCTTTGGGTGGTCCTTGTAGCCTTGCAGCCATACCTTCTTAGCGCCTGAACCAAAAGCACAACTTCGTTGCTCAATTTTCAGCATGGGTTTGTGGACTGCCTGAAAGCAATTCTGCAAATGGGAGCGAAGCTGATTTGCACACTGACTTAGCCAAAATAGATTTTTCCTCAGCCACCTCCTCCTGAGAGCCAAGCAGGCTCCACTGGCAAAAACAGCTGCTGGCAAGGTAGACATGTAAAGCTGCTTATTGAAAAGCAAAGAAGGCCAAAGGCTGCTCAAAACAAAACAGAAAGAGCAAGCGAGAGAGAGAGAGAGAAGAACAAACAAAAACAACAACAACTGTCCTCTGGTGCCACAAAAAGACTTTCCACAGAGATCATGCACTTTCGGAAAAGAGAGCAGAGGGTCTCGTTGAACCCATCCAACTTGACTGTCGCACGCTTTGTAAGAACAGTGTAGGCTCGGGGTCTGTGCAAGGGCCACCCCAGTTGATGAGGGCTCAACATGAGGTCCTCCCCACTCAGAGCAATCGGCCTATGCACCTCGTACTGAGGGAGGTAGCGACAAAAGATATCCTTCGAGAATAACGATGTGCACTCATGGACGATCACATCCTGACAGACTTGTCATCTTGCGGTTATGGTATGGTTTAAGAGGACGGGTTTGTTCAGCTCTCCTCCAAACATTGAGCTCTTTCCGACAGCCACAGCGCCAGTGATTCACAGCTTGGTCCCATGAGACCAGCCATGGCCTCAGCGTCGCCAAATGGAAACCGACCAATTTTGAAAACATGTTCAATTGGGTCCAGACCCCAAATTGACTGACATCTGCGCACGTTGTCCCTGCTGAAGCCACACGAATCTTGTGGCCATTCTCGAGGGTCAGAAGCCCAACAGGTGTCTCACACTCCCGCTGCTCCTGACACCCCCGCGCCTCCCCCCCCCGAAAGAACTGAAGCTAAACACTTTGAGCAAACTGCAAGCAAACCCAAACCTTTCCTCATTGGACCTTCTCTTCAAAGGCTTCCCAGTTGGCGGGTCATGCTTGATGCAAACAGCTTTATGTTTCCAAATCTCAGGAGTGGAGCCCAAGAAGTTCATGAAACGGTCCAAGAGCAGTTCTCCATACTTTGAAGTCAAGGCCTTGTCCCTCTCTCCAGCGCCTACCTCATCATCCAGATCCATCTCGCCTAGTTCAAAAGAAACCAGTACATGGTGGCCCCAAATGAACAGAAACAGCTGTAGCTGGGACATGAACCTTTCTCGGTCGCTAGCTCAAACTCTGTGTCTGCTCTGATTTTTCTCATCCTCTTGATGGCTTCCGGGGATACACGGTCTTCCAAGCTGACTTGAACATGGGATGGCGCATGCTCCTGACAAACAATACAAACAATCTACAAAACGTGCCAATGCACCAGTTCGCTCCTTGCACAGCCCACAGAGCACAAACTGTGGAATCTTGTCATTGTCACAAGCTGTGACACACTCATAGGCTGCATCAGCATCTGGCACAGCATCTGCTGAACCTGGTCCTGCGCAAGACACGAAAAAATGCTTTCCACATGTAAAACCTTTTCCACTTGTGGTTCTCGTTTTTTCTCCAGAAGGGCGTGGTGGGGGGGGGGCAATCCTGCAGACTGCTTGAGTAGCCGGCTCATGCTTTGCAGCTGAGACTTGCAAGCTATTGAAGCGGTTCCCAAACCAGAAAACGCATCATGGTGTTGGATGCCTCTAGACATCAAGGCCACCAAGTTGGACTTGTGGGCTTGTTTGTCTGGCAAGTCAGACAAAAGCACTTGGCTGTTGTAATCCGCCCATCCAAACAGCTCTTTGTAGCTGCGTGGTCCATCTGGCCATTTCGATTTTGATGCCTCCCTGGCTGCAAATGACGCGTTCCTCAAATTCTGCCAAGGCTCAAGCTCATTGCAGCCAAGCTTGGCCTGTTCCTTCATGAGCTGGGCCACTTTGCCTTCATCATCAGATTCTTGTTGTTGGTATTGCCCTGCCTTGCCTGGTTCACCATCTGCTGTTGGAGTTGTTTCCTTGGCCACCCCCTCTGTGTTCGTTCGCTGATCAGCACCAGCTGAGCTTGAGCTAGAACTTGAGTCTGAACTTGAGCCACTGGAAGAAGTAGATATTTTCCCAGCCATTTTCTGAAACATTCTGGTAACCTCTGGAGGCGTTGGAGGTGTGGGTGGAGTTCCTTCCATTGCTTTAACCCACCCAAAGCTTGTTTGAGCAAAGCGCACTGGCTCACACAATGCCAAGGAAACTGCCACCTTTTGTGAAGTCATTGCAGCGAAGTCTTTAAAAAAGCGCTAAAAAGTGGGTGGTGGAAATAAAGGCCACATGTCCTGGCCCTGGATGGCAAGTCCAGGAAGAGATCCTGAAGCTGGCCCTTTACTATTTACACGCCAAACTTTTCTACAAAGTTTGTGGTGGAAATAGAGGCCACATGTCCTGGCCCTGGATGGCAAGCCAAGGAACAAATCCTGAGGCTGGCCCATATTTCCACGCCAAACTTTTCTAAAAAGTT